TTACATCTACCGTCAGGCACTGTCTATGCTAAACAGCCAAATCTGACCCCCCTGAGCGATGGTGTGAGCGAGAAAGCTCGATTCTGAGTTGCTGGCATGCTTGCGATTAAAGACTTTCCCAGTCCAATGCTTCGTCTTTTATTAATCCCTGTGCTTGCTTTGTAACCTTTAATTAAAGTTACAATGTCATTTTAAACCAACATCATCAGGGTATATTAGAGGCTGTAGTGTGCGGCCAGACTCGCGCACCCCTCCCTACGATCCCCTCTCTTTCCTGCCAACTACTGCAGCGACAGATAATTACTGCACCTGATTTTAATGATACACACACAGGAGAGCGGCAGAGATGCGCGGTCCAAATGCCACCAGCTGTTCTGCAGTTGCATTGAATTAATTGGCTCCTGATGAGAAAGCGAATGAAAAAAGGCTCACTCTCGCTCTGACTCGCACAGAAATGCAGACTACCATGATAATTAATATAGCTAATGAAGCAAGCACGGCTCAAATGGCACTTGGTAATGAATGCGGGGGTATTTGATTGTGTGCGTGCTTCTGAATTGACCGGGCTCCGATCTGGTGACTTGCAAACCTCGCCTGCTCCATGCATGTAAGGTCGAGCTCAGAAATCAGAACTGGGTTTTCTCTTCGGCTCCATGTTCAGGCATCTGTAATTACTCCTAATGGTATTAAGCAGGATAGGGAGTGATATATTATAATACGCAGCATCGCATGCTCTGGAGAGCGCTCTCGGATCATCTCCGCTGTGAGCAGATGGGGCTTGTGCAATGCCAAACGGAAGCACGGCCTGCCCTGTTTGTAGGGCAGCCTGGGTAATTTCCCCCCACCTGCTACCAGGGCAGAAAACGCTTTGCCAAGCAGGCCCACATCGACCATATTTTACACCTGTCCCAACCAGGTACTGTGCAATTTTATTTCAGGCCTAACAGAGTGTAATGAAGCAAACAAGATGGGAGCGTTCAGGTGACCGAATGAAACCCGTACTGACGTCTGCACTTTTTCACCGCATTAAGACCGCTCTTTGACAGGTGATGACCATCTGCGGCTTCTCCATCCTGCGATGAATGTGGCACAAACTGGCGTTGTTTACAAATCCAGCAAAGACGGAACTGCGCACTTCTGCGACTTGAAAAGATTATGTTTGCATGAATAGCCTACTTAAATACTGTAATTCTTTGTTTATGTGTATATTTATCGGGATCATGTGCTGGCGGAAGCGCGATTCATATGTCAGACAGCGGTAGCCTGAGAAGCGAGCAGAGAAAAGGTACTCCTCTCAGAAAACATACAAATAAAGATCATTTTATACGTTTAATCACTATTTGGAGCATTGGGATCGCTAGAGGGCTCATTTTTGTGAAAACCTGAAATTCGACCAAAATCAACATTTTTCACTTTTTTTTTTTGCCTGTAGCTCAAAATTAGACCATGCACATTCCGACTCATTCTGCCAGCACGGGTCACATATTCATGTCAATAACAGTCGCTCAGCTGGCACATACCTGTTGAAAGTGCGATGCCATCTTTGCTAAAGCATCACCTGACCTGTAATCACCATGTGACTGAAGACTCCTGAGCTGTAGCGCTTACATCTACCGTCAGGCACTGTCTATGCTAAACAGCCAAATCTGACCCCCCTGAGCGATGGTGTGAGCGAGAAAGCTCGATTCTGAGTTGCTGGCATGCTTGCGATTAAAGACTTTCCCAGTCCAATGCTTCGTCTTTTATTAATCCCTGTGCTTGCTTTGTAACCTTTAATTAAAGTTACAATGTCATTTTAAACCAACATCATCAGGGTATATTAGAGGCTGTAGTGTGCGGCCAGACTCGCGCACCCCTCCCTACGATCCCCTCTCTTTCCTGCCAACTACTGCAGCGACAGATAATTACTGCACCTGATTTTAATGATACACACACAGGAGAGCGGCAGAGATGCGCGGTCCAAATGCCACCAGCTGTTCTGCAGTTGCATTGAATTAATTGGCTCCTGATGAGAAAGCGAATGAAAAAAGGCTCACTCTCGCTCTGACTCGCACAGAAATGCAGACTACCATGATAATTAATATAGCTAATGAAGCAAGCACGGCTCAAATGGCACTTGGTAATGAATGCGGGGGTATTTGATTGTGTGCG